TGGCCAACAATCCCTTTAAGCATAATTTTCATTTGAAATATGACAATAATCCTTCACCTATATGTCATATATAGACTCATATGGCTGCACTGATTCATTCTGGCATCATAGAACAATGTCACTGAATACGTAATGAATGATGTCCGTCTGCTGGGTACTTCTCTGAGCGTTACTCATAATCAACAGCTTTGTGTGTGTGTGTGTGTTTGGAGTAAGATCCTCAGCCCGTGTCTCTGGCAGAAGGCCTGAAGGATTGAGCGTTTTCTCTTCATCTGTGCTGGACTAAATCTTCAGCTCAACTTCAAGACGTCAGCGTGAGCATCACTGAAATCCCATACGCCAGGTGACAAAAATCACACTGTTTACAATTTTATTTCTACATATACACACACACACTCTCAAATTCGTGAATATGCACCATCACTAAAAAACATTTTCATCGATATGTTATAAGATAAAGTAGAAAACATAAATATGACTTTCCAGTAAAACGACACACACACACACACACACTTAAGTGTAAGTCACGGCGGTTGCTGAATGTGGTTCACGTGATCAGCACCATGGACAGAGATGGACATGTGAACAACACACACTCATTGTAGCTTCTGCTTCAGCGCAAAACTAGCGGAGCGAACTATAACCCAACTTGCCATCATGTTTGATTTATGCTGTGAAACAAAAAACTATTCAAATTGAGCGGGAAAAATAAATTGAATGTGTTCATTGTTCTACTCAAGCAAATGCATCATTTCATGCTTAAAAATGTTGAGTTGAAAATAACCCAATTAGTAACCCAGCTACACTCCAAAAAAAAAAAATGCTGGGTTGTTTTAACCCTAGTTTTGGGTCAAATATGGACAAACCCAGCCATTGGGTTACATTTTTAAATTACATTTTTAACCCAATGTTTGAGTTTGTCCATCACTGTGGGTTATTTTAACCCCATTGCTGGGTTATTACTAATATAACACAACAATGTTAAAAAAATGACCCAACAAAAAAACGTTTTTTACTTTGTAGTGCTAAAATCTTTTATAGTACATTTGCATGTTAAATTGATGAGCTTTCAGTATTTTAACATGGATGATGATCATAAAAATAATTTATTAATAATGAATATCTTTGTTTAGTCCTTGGGCGCAAATTTGGCAAATTCAACAAATTAGCATATTTTAGTAATCATAAATTAGGGATCTCTCAAACACTCAAAAGTCATCGTGCGTTACCATTGAATTGGTATTTTGAAATATTTTATAAATTTGAAACATAGCTAGGTTGGTTTTCTAGAGCCAAAATATTGTAAAAATATATATTTTTTATAAAAAAAAATGCATAAATGCATTTTCTGTACAGTAAAAATCAACACCTAGAACTTTTTTTACACTTTTATCCCTGAAGTTTTATCACTTTTAAAGTGTTTGTTTGTTTTTAATTAAAGAGTGTTTTCTAATTCAAAAAGGGCACGTGTAACAGATTACAGTTTTTTCAAATTGCTTACACACACTATGGCTCAATTTCTTGAAACTCTCACAAAACCACAAAACACAACATGCAAAACATCAGACACCTCTCGCAAAAGCAAACACATCATTCAAAACTATTTCCAAAAAATGCAAAAATTGTGTAACTCCACACAAACATCAAATGATTAGCCACGTACACACGGATGTGAAAAATGTAAAACACTACTCTCTTATTCATGGTCTGGTGTCGTTTAAAGCCCTTTGAAGCTACACTGAAACTCTCATTTGGACCTTGAACCGTTTGGTTCCCATTGAAGTCCATTATATGGAGAAAAATCCTGGAATGTTTTCATCAAAAACCTTAATTTCTTTTCGACTGAAGAAAAAAAGACATGGACATCTTGAATGACATGGGGGTGAGTAGATTAATAGGATTTTTTTTTTTTAAAGTGAACTACTCCTTTTAAGATATTTTTACTCAAGAACAAGGCCAAAATGCTGATTAAGCAAACTTTTTGCAATGTATATGGCAGTGATGCATTCAGCACAATCTTGTGTCCAATACTGTATACAATACAGCTGACCTTATAGTAATCGCCATCAATACCTTCTGAGAAGAGTCATACAGGAACACAGATACAGTGAATCATTACAGACGCGTGATCCAATCATGACTTATTGATGAGTCTGTCTGCAATGATGTCACCGTAGGATGATAGTGTGTCAAACGTTTAACAGTCGACGTCTGTCTCTATGTTGGACACCCCGAGGGACCCTGTGCAGTTCGATGGTTTACAGAAGAGCAGATGCTCCACACACCATGTGTTATTAAAGTAATGTGCATCCCAAACAAATATAGTGCCACTGTAAACATGCACTGTAATATATGTTTGACACATTATCATCACATTACCTCATTTTGTTTGATTTTTATTTCAGCAAACAAGTGTTTTTTTTTTCTAAAAATAGAAAATGCTTTTTTTTTTGGTAATGTCTATTCGAATAAAGCATGAAAAAAATCTAAACAAATTTTGTAGAAATAACAAAATGAAAAGAAGGGTGTGACAAAATATGTATCCATTTAAGCATGTTCTGGAAAGATTAAAACTGAATATTTCATATACCTGTGAATTTTGTGGAAAAAAGCAATAATTTGGCTTTGTTTTATCATTTTATTTACTAAAGATGATGTTGGAATGATTTAGAAACCTATAACAGAAAACAGGACTGTAATAGAAATCTGTGTATTTGATGGGGTTTTTTTTTCCCGTTTTTTTAGAATGAATTTCCGAAAAGTAAGGAAGAATACATTGTACAATTATTTATTTTATTAGGAAAATGCCATATATATGAAAAGCAAACCAAATTTTCACATTATATAGGCTAAATTTGATTAAATTAACTTTTGGAGCAAACTAAAATGCTAAAATGCTAATTTTATGTATTTTTCTTTTCTTTTGACTGCTAATTAAATGTGACAAATTTAATACCTCTTTTTCTTGTAGCATTGAATAATACAATTAAATACACAAAAATTTAATCGCATTGTTGGCAGATCCCAGGAAATGCACATATGCAGTATGCTAATATGTTAGCATGCTAGTGACAGAAATCTGCTGTGGTGTGTCCTGCAGCATCTGTGAATCAGGGATCAGTGAATGAGATCAGTCAGATCAGGACTGATCCCAGCGCAGCGTCTGGCCTGTACGGATCAGTGATGTCAGAGAGCACTGTTGGTGTGAACCAAATGACTGAAAAAGATTTGTTCATTTTGATAAACGAGTTCGAACAGGAGAGTCACAAACACTCATCACAGAACAGAGCAAGGCGAACATTTGTGCTTATAAAACTTAAACTTTGTTATTTATTTATTAAATGAGCGATCGTTTCGCTTGATAAGACCCTTATTCATCGTCTGGAATCAGCCCTTTGAACAGTTTGCACTGAAACTCTCATTTGGACCTTGAACCGTTTGGTTCCCATTGAAGTCCATTATATGGAGAAAAATCCTGGAATGTTTTCAGCAAAAACCTTAATTTCTTTTCGACTGAAGAGAAAGATGTGGACATCTTGGATGACATGGGGGTGAGTAAATTATCAGCAAAAGTTTTTTCAGAAGTAAACTACTCTTTTAATAAATTTGCTATCCACATGAAATAATAAGAGTAGAGAGTTAAATAGAGTAATCAAGTGTCTAGATAAATTACCATATAAATGACCAATAATCAATTGGCATTCCAACCTAAATTTGAGATCGCGATAAAATAGAGTTTGATAAAAGTAAATTGGAATTAAATTACTTTGCCACACTGTAAAGACTGAACGCGAAAGACCGAAATCCTTCAGTTGCTTATCGGAAACCGTTTTTGGGCCAATTCGGTGGGACTTGACTCCATACATCTGAACGTCTATAGCTCAAATGTTCTGCGTAACACGAGAATGAATCTCATTCACTCTTACAGAAGCTCAAACGTGATGCGTAATACGAGAATGAATCTCATTGGTTCTCACAGAAGCTCAAACGTGATGCGTAACATCAGAATGAACCTCATTTGTTCTCACAGAAGTTAAAACGTGATGCGTAACATGAGAATGAACCTCATTGGTTCTCACAGAAGCTCAAACGTGATGCGTAACATGAGAATGAACCTCATTGGTTCTCACAGAAGCTCAAACGTGATGCGTAACACGAGAATGAACCTCATTGGTTCTTACAGAAGCTCATGATGCGTAACATAAGAATGAACCTCATAGGTTCTCACAGAAGCTCAAACGTGATGCGTAACACGAGAATGAACCTCATTGGTTCTCACAGAAGCTCAAACGTGATGCGTAACACGAGAATGAACCTCATTGGTTCTCACAGAAGCTCAAACGTGATGCGTAACATGAGAATGAACCTCATTGGTTCTTACAGAAGCTCAAACGTGATGCGTAACATGAGAATGAACCTCATTGGTTCTCATAGAAGCTAAAACGTGATGCGTAACGTGAGAATGAATCTCATTGGCTCTTGGTGAAGCTCAAACGTGCAGCGTAAAAAAACCTCGTTGGTTCTTTTTATGTTTTATTGAAACATTCAGTTTACAGAGTAAAACAACATAACCTCGTTGGTTCTTACAGAAGCTCAAACGAGAATGAACAGCGAAAATTCTTCCGTTTTTACCATAGCCTGATGAGTGAGTTGATGAAGGTTTATGTGATAAAAGCATACATCCAATCTGTTCATCATAGAGAGTCTTTAAACCGCTAAATTAATTTGCTTTGAACTAAAGTCTTTCGGGTTTGGAAAGACATGAGAGTGAGTAATTAATGACAGAATTAAAATTTTTGGGTGAACTATCCCTTTAACATCCCCGAGAGAAAGAGAGGATGATATGAATGAACAACACTGAGAGAGAGAGAGAGTGAGCGGGAGATGTTGATGCTGATGTTAAAAGGAGCGGACGCACGCGCTCGCAGCGAGATTCGTGTTAATCTCGCGCACGTTCCTCTATTGACGTCACGGGCGTGCGGTCTTGAGTCCAGCAGCGTTTCAGACTCTTCTTCGGGATGCGAGTGTTGATGTGAATCCCCTCCTCCAGCCTCTCAGACCCGTCACCCGCGATATGAGCTGGATAGCGATGAACACGAAACGCGTGGCGTCCCGATAACGAAGTCTCGATGGACCCGAGCGGACTGAGCCTCCTCTGATCCACACAATAGCAGCGAAAGCAGCATCTCTAACGGACGCGACATGGACGATTCGGGAATAATCAGGCGCAGGAGACTGCAGGTCAGATACACATCCCAATGTTTTCTGGACATGTTCCATGCTAATATTGTGGTATTGGGCCATGTATAGGGGTTTTCTTTGAAGTACAATGGTGTAAGGATATAGTAAACAATGGTAATATATCAAAAACAGCATGGTAATAATGTTTTCTAAACATGTACTATAGTAAAATCATGTTTTTTGAGATGTGCCATGGTAATAATGTGGGTTTTGGGCATGTATTTTGGTAGTATTATGGTTGAGATTCCTTGAAGTAACACACCGGTAGTATATTAATGTATACAGTCAGTAGATATAAAAAATACCCTCGTATTACTATTTTCTGACTGGATCATATAGCCTAATAACAGTAACCAATGGAGAGTGGTATTCTTTGAAATACCATAGGACCTTTGTGTATATCAGTGTATACCTTGATGGTACAAGTGTGTACTGTATTAGATTGTGACATGAGCTATAGTAAGTGGTAAAACTGGGTTTTTTTTTGGCCATGTATAGGGGTAGTAACATATTTTTTTAAAAAAATACATTGTAACATGGTAAATTAATGTGTTAAACACTATGGTATACTATGGTATATCACAAATACAATTTTATGACTATCCGATTGGACCTCATAAGGACAGTGGAGTTGCATTTAATTAATACTATGGTATTTGAATGAGGTATTGTTACAGTATGAATGCCATCTGACGGTGTTAAGGTGAAAATAAGTCAGCTACTTTAACATTCAGGAACCCTGAGCTGTGATGATGAGGAGACGCTTGTGTGTGTGTGTGTGTGTGTGTGTGTTCAGTGGAGGTTATCTGAATCCTTTGCTTTGCTGGGACGGGTGTGTGTGTCGACATTAGAAACCGCTTGTGCATCTACACGGTTTCACAATCATTCTGATATGATATCACACACACACACACACACACACACATTCACCAGTAGAGAGATGTTCGTGAAGTCTGAGACATGATAAGAAAGAGAGAGACGGACTCAGTGTTATCTGAGAATTTCAGCCCAAAATCAACCGCACTCATAGATTAGGCTTATTTTTAGTACTTAATTATCTTGTTGTTCATTCGGCATTTATAATTTTCATGACAAGTAACCACATTTACCCCCATTGGGATGTCACATAATAAAATCAAGTCAAACTGTATCATAAAGTATGTAGATAAACCATAATGTTGCAAGACCATACAAACATTTAGCATCAGCATTTGAATTTACACTAATGAGAGAATTTCGGATGAAATGTTTTAAAAAAATATGTCAGAATGCAAAAGAAAAAACATATTAATTGTCCTAAAATAGGCTTAATTTATGCAGAATATAATTGCTTGCCATTGTGTGTGTGACTGTGACACTTTTATTTTGCTCAGTGTGAGAATAATTGCCCTCCGCCGTTTGTTTCCATGTCCCTCGGGTCTCTTCTGAGCATCACACACACACACACACAGACATTATGTCGGTTATTCAGTTAACACCCTCCTCCCGCTGCCATATGGTGCAACACCTCAGAGGTCAAAGGTCACTCCCATCATGCAGCAGGGCCTCATGCACATTTAGCACGCGGCTCATCATTTGCCTACTTTTATCGTCATTTATGATGATATTTTTAGAGATGCATAAAAAATATTTTTATATCAAAACTAAAATGAAAATTTTAAGTTAGCCAAAAACTGAAAATGTATTTTTTTATTTTTCAATGATCAATTCAATAATGAAATTTATTTCATAATCAGCACTCAAATAAGGTTGTTTCACAAACATTTAAATTGCCGTTTTTATATCAACTTTTTAATAAAAATTAATACGACTGAATATGTTAAATCTAATCAATAAAATTGAGGCAACAGATTACAATCAATATTATTCATTAAATTGAACAAATTAAGAGTTGAGTGATAAGTAACCAAATGAATTACTTAAAAGTTAACCATTTAAAATGAGTATAATTTACAAATTTTTCTAAACAAAAATATCGGAAAAACAGACGATTTAAAAACTTTTTTTTATTGCCAACACTGAAGACACCTGATGATAACAAGCAGTTTCTACTCCGATTTGTTGTTGAAATATAGATATTTAAATGGTGGCTGAAATCATTTTAATCACAGATTTATTTAAATCTTCAAATGTTTAAGTCACTTTCGTCAGAGTGAGATTGGCGATGTACCGTCTCTTAATTAACTACACAAAATACAGCACAAAATAAAATAAAATAAAGATTTTTAACTCTAGAAAATGAAGAACAAAGAATGTGCATCAGGTGTGTTTTGCTTTTTCATGTATTAATCCACTCAACTTTATCGTTGTTACATATATGTGCAGGAAATTAGCTTATTTTGTTTTTCATATTGTGGTTTTCCGTCAATGGTATGGTATTTCCTAACTTCAGCTTCCCACTCGTATTTAAAACTTTGTGATGTGTTCATGTGCGTTCGACTCGTAAATACGAACTTTCCGACATGACTTGAACTCACAATATCGGCCCTAACAGTAATATTAATATCGGTTATTATCGGTATCGGCCACAATTTTCACATCGGTGCATCACTACCATTATTGCATCAGATAATGATGATGTTACTAACAAGTCAAAATATGCTGAAATTTGTGTATATATAGAGTTATTTCAGTGTTTCCTCTAGGATTTTTCAAAGCTGTGGGGGCAGGCCCATTTCCCCCGGCGGGGGCGGGAGGGGGGTTTGGGGGTGTTGTCCTGATATTCCCCTAGGCCACGCACACTTGTCTCCCCAAAGTATTATAATCGATCATGCGCATCCCGTGTGCAGAATGATGTACTTGAAGCAACACCAAGTCGCAGCACGCAACGCTTCACATTGAAAAGAACATAGCGAAGGGATTATATCTATAATATGCAGTAGGGCTGGACGATTTGGGGAAAATGTCATATTGCCATTACTGAGGTCAATATTGCAATTGTGATATGCGATTCCGATATAATAAAATGGTTTCATGAGTCCAACTTGCTTGGTTCTAAAGTAAAATGCACACACACAGATTAGTGATCATTCTGTGTATTAATGTTTATTTCTCAACTCAAACTAAAAACAACAACTAAATGATTGATAACACCTATAATGATCAATAAACCAACCAAACCATCATTACAGTGAAAGCTATCAACTTTTTTAAAAAAATTATTAGGCTAAAAAAAATGTTTAACAACTTTTAAATTAAGTGAACTTCAAACAATCCCCACATAAACCCATAATAAAAACCATATTTACCTGTGCCCTTCCTGTCTTAACAGGTAGGATACAGAAATTGAATAAAGTTATCAAACAGTCTGCGCTGCATGAATTATAAATTAAATTATATATAGAATAATCCTTATTAAAGCTACAAAAGTTCTTTAGTCAAGATCAGTGAGTAATTTTCTAATTTCCCTTTGTTCTTTTAACTTTACTGACAGAACGCTTTATTCGCTGCTGGCCCTTTAAGAGCACCCGTTGCCGAGACGCGGATCTCACATGCGCCTCATAGCACAACTCTTTTCGTCCATAAGACTTTTCTTACGTTATGAAGATACTCGACAAAACGACATTTTGGCATAATTGTGTGTGCTATTGTTCGTTCAAGCTCGAAAGAGAACTGTATTCTGGCACGCGTCAGTGCATGCGCATTATGGCGCGCGTCTTTCTGCGAGTCTCATTCAGGGCATTCACAGGCAGCTTTTCACTTCTTGTCGTGCAAAATGCGAAAAGGCATTTGCACGAATAAGAGCGGGATCGTGTAACACTAGTCAAAGGATGACAAAAATGAAGAGATGCTGCGTTAATAGCCCTAATTTGTTTATTTCATATAAAATCGCGGCATTTTGCGTTATATAATTGCATAGGTTTGAGATCGCTATTACGATTGCGATTTGATTAATCGTGCAGCACTAATGCTTAGTGCATTCTATATGCAACAGTTTTTTGAGCCTTTTCTTTTAACAGTTTTAAATTTCAGTGCGCATGAAGAACAATAGCACTCTCTCGACTCTATGCTGTAATCTCACATACACCCGGGAGAAGGGAATGTGAAAGGGCAATAAACTCCACTCCAGCAAGATAAAGTCATTTTATGAAAACCATCTACGTTATGCTTTATCTACAAATAAAGTATAATAATGGGAATATTGACCTTGAAGAGGCGCGCTGTGTGAATTCTGAATGAAGAATGACTGAGGCGAGATGACTTTCCGTTAACTTTAACTTAGCGACTAAAATTACACATTATGCAATGACTTTAGAAGTCTTGGAATATAGGGTGAAAACTTGATTGTGCTTTACAAAGTTTTTTATGCCTTTAGTGGGGCTTAACAAAATAACATAATACTATGCAGAATATCGGACGTCACTGAGAAGCTGCAGCCGTGGCGGGAGGATTTTAAGTGTGGCGGCCCGCCACGGGAGAATGAATGTAGAGGAAACACTGTTATTTATCTAGCTAACTAACAAGCTGTGTGGACACTGAATTGCTCTAGAAATATTGCCGTAGAAATGTTTTTAATGTTAATTGATTTAGTTGACTAATGTTAACAAAATGAAACCTTTACCGAAATATCCATATCTTACCCTTCCATTTGTTTCTATAGTCCCGCTTTACCAGCATTTTTGCGCTAATTTACAAGTATATCCCTCTTTAAATAAATGTTCCACAATACAACCTTTTAAACTCGATAACTTTGATAAATGAATGTTATTTTGTTGTAATTTAAGGGAGTAAAATGGTTAATCTGCTGGTTTCTCATAAAAACTTTATTTATTTTAATCTTTTAAACGAATTAATCAAACGTTTTCATTAAAATTTCACCTAATATAACTTTGTTTTCAACGTGGCTTTCTGAGGCCAACATTAAAGGGTTAGTTCACCCAAAAATGAAAATTAAGTCATTAATTACTCACGCCCATGCTGTACCAACCCCGAAAGACCTTCGTTCGTCTTCGGAACACAAATGAAGATATTTTTGATTAAATTTGAGAGCTGTATAACTA